ACATTTTATTGATGATAATTTAAAGTATATGTTCTTTAAAAAAATATTAAAATGTTATGCTATATTTGTATGAAAGACTTCAAGTCTATACACTTATTAATTTTGCATTTTAAACGCACTCATAATTTAAATATAAATTCAACATTTAAATGCTGTGAACTCAATTGTCTTCAAATTTTTAAAAATGTAAGTAGTTTCAAAAAGCACGTGACACGTAAACATGTATATAATGATACTGGTGATGATAAAGATAATAGTGATACTAGTAATAAAGACAGTCAAGATTGTAACATCAAAATACAGAATATAGAGAATAACATGGAACTTGATGCAAGTCATTCTATTGCATCTTCAGCATCTAATTCCGTTTGTATGTCATACGATGATACAAACGAAATTATTGAAACAGAGAACAGTATAATTCCTGAGTTTCAAATAGAAGAGTCGCTTAAAAAAATGGTTTATTTTGTTGCAAAATATGTACTTACTCTCCACAACAATAATAACTTTTCTAGGAAAGATGTTTTGAAAATACAGGAATATACGAATCAATATTTAATCGATCCATTATTGGATACTATGAAATTATTTACTGATAATATACTTGAACAAAATAGTTTTGCATATAACGAACTTTATAGTTTGATATCAAATTATAGAAATCCTTTTAAATGTTTAGATAGTGAATACCTTTTATATAAGTGGTTGAAAAGTGAGAATTATGTTGAAGATGTAAAAGAATTTATAATTGATGATACAATTTGTGCAATTCATCGAAATGGTAGTTATCTATATGATGAAAAAAAAATAAAAGGTATTCTTATGCCCTTGAGATTTCAATTTCGAAAAATATTCGAAAAAGAAGGGCTTTTAAAGCGTACGTTAAATAATATTGACTTTTTACAGAAGTGTCCAATATTCACAAATTTTGTGCAAGGCAAATTATGGAAACAAAAAACTAAATTATATCCTAATAAAACAGTGATGCCATATTTTTTGTACATAGATGATGTCGAAATTAATAATCCTCTAGGATCTCATTCCAAGGTTCATTCAATTTGTAATATTTACTATTCTTTCCCCTGTTTTCCGATGGATGAATCTAAATTAGAAAATGTATTCTTGGCTGCAGTTATCAAATCTATTGATGTAAAGAATCATGGAAATGATAAATGTTTTGAGTCTCTTATCAATGAATTGAAATATTTAGAAGTAAATGGTATCGACATTAAAATGGATGACAATTCTACTTTACGCATTCATTTTATTCTGGGTTTAGTGCTCGGAGATAACTTAGGGTTAAATTCATTTCTAGATTTTAATAAATCATTTTCAAGTAACTCCTATTGTCGACTTTGTAAAGTAGAAAAAGTAGATTGTCAAAAACTAACTACTGAAAATAAGGAATTAATGCGAACAATTATAAATTACGATAATGATTTAAAGATAAATAATTCACAAAACACTGGAATTAAAAATAAATCTTTATTAAATGATCTTCCGTCATTTCATGTAGTTGAAAACTATTATGCTGATGTTATGCATGATATTTTTGAGGGAGTCTGCCACTATGTTTTATGTCATGCAATTACTTATTTCATAATGAAAATAAAATACTTTGATTTAGAAATGTTAAATTTAAGAAAACAAAATTTTGAATATGGACCAAAAGATATTGAAAATATTTCAGGTGAAATTACGTTATCACATTTAGACAAAAATCACTTAAAAATGTCAGCTATAGAGATGATGACATTCATTTTGTATTTTCCTCTTATGGTTGGAGATTTAGTTCCATCTGATGATGAAGTTTGGAATTTTTTAATTAATTTTATTGAAATTATTGATATTCTACTTTGCTATGAAATTAATGAAATGAACATTATTTTATTAGAATACAAAATTAAAAAGAACAATAATGATTACGTTCAACTATTTAATGATACGCTAAAGCCCAAATTTCATAATTTAATTCATTATCCAACAATTATTCGTCAATGTGGACCTTTAAGAAAATTGTGGTGTTTTAAATATGAGGCAAAGCATCGACAATTTAAAATATACTCTCACTGTATCACTTCTAGGAAAAACATTTGTTTTACATTAAGTAAAAAATATCAATTACAATTTGCATACCAATTAATGAACAGTGAAAATTTATCGAATTCAGTTTTTAAATTTAGTGATAAATACGAAATATCGAGTAATTATCATTCTATTATTATTAACAAATTACAAAATGTTAATGAAGAAGATATCAAATTATACTCTCGCATTGAGTATAAAGGCGTTGAGTACAGCAATAAAAACAACTATATAGCAGTTTTTGAAAATGATATTCAAATATATTTAATATTAGATATTATTTTAGTTCAAAGCAATAAAGTCTTATTTTTTTGTCAAAGGTTGCAAAGGTTGCAATATAGGCAACATTTTCTAGCATATGAAATTAATGAAACAATTTTAGGAGAACTTTTTATAATATTTCCAGAGAATATAATCGGACCTCCACTTAGTTTAATAAAAAGTGCTAAAGGCAAATCAATGATACGTGTAAAACAATACTATAAATGTATTACATAAATTATTATATGTACCTACTATTCTATATATATACATATATATTATATATATAAGTATACTGTTTTATAGAGGAGACTCAGGTGTTATGAGTCACCATGTACCTGATTGTTGGGTCCTCGATTGTTTATGAATAATCCAGAATGTTTAAGTTGGTACCAAGGACCCGTAATATCCTGTGACCCATAATGCCTCGGTCTGCCTATATAAGAAAAGTTGTATGACTTCTGTTTTGTTTTAATCGTTATTCTATATGTTCTCTTAGCATTTTTTCTTATTAAAATTTATTCTAAAGTTTGCCACTAAAAATGTGGTAAATTATGTACTAATTTGAAAACTATGTTAAGTTACACAATCAGTAAGAGAATAGCCTATTAATTAAGTTTAGTTACTTTCATACAATATTTTTTACATATAAAAATTTAAAAAGTTTTCCTAAAAGATTGAAATTATTTCATATTTTAACATATTTCGTATTTTAATGTAATATACATTACACAAATACATACATACTAAAGCATAACATATTAATTATTATAGATTCTTGCTGTGGATAAAATTTCTTTAACGTTTGTTATACTTAAATACCGTGTTTTGCATAATTTAGGTTATATTGAAATAGAGTAAAGCAGCCTCTTCATTTATATAATATTTATATATAATTAATGGTCACAAATAAATCGTTGCTTATAATGAACAATAAAGAAAATTACGAGCTTGCGGGCTCTCAGGATACCACTCTACAAGAAAGAATAAAAATAAATGATAAATTATCCATACCACCTCAAGATATCGAAAATTTAAATTCTACTACTTCGTCATGTGAAGATATTTATCAGTATAATTTACCTGACTTTTTCGAGAATTATTCTTCACATTTGACAACTGTGAGAGCAGATTTACAAATGGATCAAATTCAGAACGAAGATTTGCAACCTCCTCACAATGTAACTGCTCAATTAATATTTGAAGATTTAAGTTCTCAAAATAACTTCAATGTACAACATGATTCATTTCAACTAGAAGATAAAAATAAAGATAAAGAAGAATTAAAATTGTTGCTTCGAAGTTGGAATCAAGAACATTTAGTGGATCATCTTCTGAGTAAGTACATTTCTTACATATCTATCAATATAAAACATAGAAATATCAATTATCAATATCAAATCAAATACTATTAACAAACTTCTTTTTCAGAGGAGAATATTGTAATAAACATACTTAAAATCATGAAGCGACATCATATAGAAAAAGTACTGAAACCATTTAATCTTGCTACTCAAATATTATTTGAAGATAACTTAGAGAATTGGAGAAATTCTATAAATCTTCCATTAACATCTTCCGCAAATTCTTCTTACTCAAGACCACTATCCCCACTATCAACTACATCTTCGACATCAGGATTATTTCGTTTTTCACCTTATGAAAGAGTTTCAACTCCAGATGAAACTAGTATGATCACATTATCGTCTATTTTAAACAAAACTCCAAATGGCGCCATGTTGGTAGAATACTACAACAAATATAAAAAATTTGGAGAGGAACAAAGATCATTATTAATCAATACTTGTGCATATTTTTTTGAAGATAATAATGTTAATATGTCGTTAGCGGCAAGTTACAAACTCGAAAAAGAAATATTAGAAAGGTTTCCTACTGAAAAATTAGTAAGTTTATTTGTTTATAACACAAAGATATAATAATACATGCAATATCAAATGATCAACTTGATAATTGTTTAGTTATACATTCATATATTAAAAAAATGTTTATTTATTTAAATGAATAAGACTCTCTATATATACATACATATATGTATATATATATATATATATAATTGATATATTATTATTCATATTACGTTACAGCAGTGACAGTTGCCTTCTTTATTTGATCGCATTTGAACTGTACAATAAATACATTTTATATAAAATAAAATAAAATATTTATAACTAAAAGTAAAATAAAGTTTTAAATCCTATATAAAATTATAGAAAATTATTTACATATAAAGATATATATACATATATTATTACAATCATTAATTGTAAATCTTATAAATTGTATTATTTATTTAAAGAATAATGCTTTTTAATAAAAATCTTTTATAACAATAATTTATTTTTTATTCTATTGTTTAATAGTTTTTAAATTGTAATACAACTGTATTACAATTTAAGTAATGACTAGAAGAATTTAAGTTAATCATTTTTCCATTGAAAAGATTGGCAAATATAATGTCTTGGATATTAATCTTTATAAAAATTTGTTATAGGAATATTATCGAACATGTAAACGCGGAAAATTATATAACAAATCAGCTAATTTAAAATCGTCTGTTAAAGCAACAATTGGAAAACATATTTTACCAAAAAAAATAAAAAAATCAGAACTGCCTCAACGGAGTCATAAAAAAATATTTGGTATAAATACTTATTATATGATTACAAAATTACATGTTAATAATATTGAATTTATTAGTTCCAGAAAACAATGCAGAAGTTTGCATTAAATCATTGAAATTTGATAACTTATCATCAGAAGAATTTGACACTTGTTGGAAGGCATGTGCCCAGTACCGATTGAAACAAATAAACGACCTTCCAAACACCGCAGCTATTTTTCAAAAATGGCCCTTTTATAAAAAACCGTCCGGCTTTAGATTGGTATATATATATGTATATATCTATATTAAATTAGAAATTTTGAACTGATAATAAATTGATTTTTAAAATGCTTTACAGATTGATATGGATTTTAACGTGTTACTTGATACAGGAAATGGCCTATTAGATAAATGGGAGACTTGTTTAAATAATCTTACGTCGTTTCTATGCAATGATAATCACGTTAAAGATAAATCTGTAAAAACATACCTACAACTGTTAAAAGAAGGAACATTTTCTGAAAGTAAGTTATATTATTATTCAAATATATTATTTTATTAGAAATTTAGGAATAGAGCCCATTTAGAATAACTTACTAAATAGTCCAATATATTATTTCGTCACTTAAAAACTTTAGCTGCATTCGAAAACGCTCGGATGCCTCCGATGCCTTAGATGCATCATCTTGTCCTTGTTTAACATAAGGTGAACAATTAAGACAAAACGATCGCGGAGGCATCCGAGCAATGTTTCCAAACGTTGCCTTTATTTATTTAACTTGATTTGTATAGATGGTCGTGATGCAACAATATTATGGAGCCTCCATGGTTACTTAATTCCAACCAACAAAATTGTGAAAAAAGATTTGACTGGCAAAAAAAGTACCGTAAAATTTACTATTAGAGATTCTCAGGAATCTTTTGTTTTCGTTGGCAAATCTCATCAAGAAATAGAAGATCATCTCACACATCTTAAAAGAAAAAAAGAGTGTATTCAACCATTCATTCTATGTGTTGGCGAAGATGTTTTGACAATAACAGATATTTACATGTATTTCGACAATATTAAGTATTCATTTAATAGTTTTCTTAAAGCTGTTGATATAGTATTTAAAACTTTTCATGTTTTTAATTTAAGTTATCCAATTGAGAGTTCAATGTTTTGGAATTTTATTGAATCAAATTTTTTTGAAATTAAATCTAATATTTTCTCTTCCAAAGTTCATGTATTAACAGAAAATATGAAAGTTACATAAAAATATTAACTATATCATTTTACTTTCTCATGTAATACATAACATGTAATATACATGTAATACATGTGTTCAGAATGTTTAATAAAATTCTTTTGGAATAAAAATTTTTATTTTGTATTTATTAATATATCATCCAAAGATTAGATTTAGTGCTGTATCTTTCATCTACAATTAATTTTAATTTTTTATTTAATTGCAAACAATTCTATAATAATATTTTTAAGAATAAATTATTTAAAATTAGTCAGAGAGGATTAAAAATTTATTAAAGTTATTATTTATTTTATCAATTGTGATAATATAATATATATATGTAATTGAATAATATGTATTATATTTTAAGTATTAATGTATATATTTGTAGTACAATTAATGTATACAGAATTCCTCAAACTTTTTGATACATTTGTGAGCAAGTATAATGGACTAAACTGAATCGAAAAGTTCACAATTTTTTTAATTACCTAATGAGTAAAATGTCTAAAATCGACGCATAAGGCAGCTTTAAAATATCTTCAAGTTGTCTTTGGGTTGATTTTATTCGCTTATTCGACAATCTTTAGAAATTAATATCACGTCAACTATTGCGAAAATTGTGAAATGATAGAGAACTTTTCGACTCAATTTAATTCGTTTTATTTGCCCACAAGCAGTGTGTCAAACTGTATATATTAATAGTAATATGACAAAATAATCCCAGTCAACAAATTAATATAAGTAGTATAAATATATACTACATATATACACATTAATGCTAATATATAATATGTATTGTTCAATAATATTATTTATTGATATAATGAAAAACAATTTTAATAAATGTTTTTAATTAACAAAAAATGACATTGTTGTAATAAAATTTTATAATCAAGCTATAAAAAAGTTTATTGACTAAATATAGTATTTTAATCAATCTATTAAAAGCTTTATTGTTTCAATAAAACTATATAATAAATTTATGATAATATTCCTTAATATAATGCAGTAATCAATCATTTCATTTCATAATCTAAAGAATTATGATCATAAAGTAATAAAATCATTAATTAAATTAACGATTATATGTCTTAATAATAATAAAATTCAATTCATGATTCAATAATATTATTTACTGAATGAATAAAGTTTTTCGTTAATACAACGAATTCATAGCAAATTGTTTCAATGTACATATTTATTATTACAATAAATTAATAATAATAGTTTAATAACTTATTCATCCTTCTATAAAACCTAAATCATTATGGGAATGAAATGATTCATTGGACCAATTTCAATAAACTTTTTTATTAGTGCAATGTACATTTTTATTGTATTTACGTACGTTTTTGGTTCAGTGTACACGCTAGGGCCTGATCTCTGACGTGCTCTAGGATGGCTTGTTGCTGAATGGAATTATGATTTTTTCCTTCTTCCATGGAGTCGTAAAGTTCTATGGCTATGTCCTCTACTCTGCGCCTGAATGCTTGCGCGGTTTCCATTGGTTTTTGCTTCAACTAATTGAATTCGAGCTGTAAGTGTGCGGTGCTTCTGCGGCTTAGATATTCCGTCTCTAATTCGTCCTTTAGTTGCTCATAACTAGTGATTTCCCTGTTTTTGAAAGTTTTCATCGCCTTTCCCTTAAGTTTGGTGCATAACACGGCGTCTAGTAGAGTGGATGCATCCGAGGGTTGAGTATGCCGCATGGCGTAATCACTTGCTTGTATAAATTCCTGCACGCGATCTCGCGAGGTGCCGTCCATCTCGGGGATCATGTTACGTGCTTCTTTTAAGGTCAGATAGTGAAGGGATCTTCCGGGTTCGCGGGATACGTGTGTTAACGAATTACTTGTATGTTGGCCGGAATCCCGTAAAATTCTGCTTGTCATGTCGGATGGATCGATCATTTTCTCGTTCGCGGGCAAATTCCATATGGTCTATCCTATCTTGTAGACCGGCAACTGCTGCTATCAATCGATCTAGGACTTCGTCCTGTCTATTTGCTACTCGCGCTTCTATTGAATCCTGCGTGTCGTTTTCGTCTCCGTCTAATTGAAAGGTCACTCTTCTTCCGTGCCTATTCTCCGGAGTATCGCGATTTTGCGGGTTGATTGAGTTTTGGGCGTTATCGTCGCCTGTGATTAGTAAGCGTTCAGGGGTTTGGTCTCTAGGTGGAGTACGCGGCGTCGTCATGTCACGGCTGTTTTGAGTAGTCTCGTCTGATTTAATTTATATTTTCGTCGCGTATTGTCAGCGCGCGGTCGCGTTCGTTTTTATTATTTGTGAATTCGTACGTCTGTTGGTACTATTCCTGCGCTACTTGCGTCTCGTTTTATTAAGCTACAATCGTTTAGATTTTAGCGGAAATTCGCGATTGGTTATTACGCGATGGGGTAAACTTACTTTGTTTCTATCGATTGATTCGATTTATTATTTATATTATCACGGGTTTCTTTACGCGCGTTGCTCGTTATGACTAACGGTGGTTTGCTATTCGCTCGCTCGGCGGTGTCTTTTATTAATCTACAATTACGCGGGTCGGTATCCTGTGCGTTTATCGCTTCAGACATACACGGTCTTGTCGCATAACATGAATACGACTTACATTAGTAGAATCGCTCGCGTCATCGTTGCGCTGCTCGGCTCGTTCAGCTGTTCGGGTGTTGAAGTTCTGCGAAGTCTGCAGTCCGTGTCAGCTGTCGATGTTGCGCTGTTCCCTTCGTTGACACCGTCTGGATACAAGGTCGCAGGTGATTGGTCCTCGTAACGCCTCGGGTCCTGGCAGCCTTCCTTGGTACCGAGGTAGCTCCGGGCGTCGACCTCTGCGTGGTGTTGTCGACTCACTTTTAAATTTTGTTGCTAGACTAATAAGTCTTAGCTACGGCATGCACTCGCCGTGTATTTTTACGTATCTTCTCTTACTTGAGAGATCGTAGTCGGAGATTTAATTTTTCTCCGGCTTGTTGCCACGGCGCGGCTTGCACGGGTCTTGTTTCGTCTCCTCTAGCGGCTAAGATCGTCGGGTTCTCTTGGATTCCCTCCGATTTTTTCGGTGATGTCTCACCAGTTTATCCCACCGCTGCCACCAATTTTGTTGTACCTCTCGGTGCAACAAGATATTATTTTAAGATTCGATCCGCTCAAAGGGTTGGAACCCACGAGGAAAGACGAGGATAGTAAAAGGTCGTTGAACAAACACTCACTTCACCACACTTCTATTTAAAATAACCCTTTTTATTTAACAATTTGATAGTTGATTACAAATGTTGTACCCCTTTATTTATATAATTATTTATTACTAAATATTACAATGCTTTTTAGTAACTGTAACATTCATTTAATTAATACAGTTGTTTAGTTAAATGAATATATTTTAAAGTTATCGCTCGTGACTTATGAGTAAACCGGTCGGCGACGGTATCGCGGATGTTACTTAACTCGGTTCTCGCGACGCGCGTAACGTATCGTTACCTTTAGATTTTAAGACAAGACTTTGCGCTCGGCATTTAGGCGGTCGCTTATATTAAGTTTGATGATGTCGCTTTTGGTCTTCGATCGGACCATATATGGTAATATTCATCGCGCTAGAGGCGCGATCGCGTGATTAAAGAATGTGCAATCTTGCACTTCCGCTGTTGGTTGCCATGCCGAGTGCATTTAGGTATTTCGCGCGCTACGATCTTAGATCGACGCTTTGTCGTGCGCGGTTTAAAGAATGTGCAGACTTGCATTTCCGGTGCCGGTTGCTATGCCGGTTGAAATGAAATAATTGATAAAATAAGTGATAGCCATTTGGGCTATAACAGTGTACTGCCAATGATTTACTATCATATCTTCTATTAATATTAGTATTTTTCTTACTTAATATTCTTAATTTGAATACGACAAACTTTCTAATAATTTTAGGAAACAATTGATGATAATTTAAAACATGTTTAGCCGTAACCTGACTAAAGACAGACATTAAATAATTTTTACAGTATTGTGCAATGCAACCACCCATTTTTATTGTTATTATTTTGTACTGAGCAAAAACCACGAACACAACCTTGAATCAACTCAAATCAACTTGAATAAACGAACACATACGAACGCACATATTCGTGTGAGTGAAAGAGTGAAATGGCCTATATTTCTCTCCCACTTGTAGGATTTCGCTAGGAAATGGTGGACTCACCTGATGGCCAGTCTCTGTTAGAGGGTCTCTAATGTTCGATATGCTTATTAGATGTGATTAATGTGCTGTATATAGGCAAAATAGTCCAGATATGTTATTTATGTGGTAAAAAGCCTAATGCGACTAAAAACATCAGTTTGCATAGGTATAAAATCAGTTATATGAACGATTAATATTTACTGTGGCTTGTTTACGTATTGATGCTCTCTGAATTTTCTCAAGTGAAAATTTCACTCTTCTAAGTGCAAAAAATTAGGATTAATTTATTTATTTCGACAAAACTGACTCTGTTAACTGTAACAAGGTTATATCCTGAAGCGGAATCAATCACTTTTTCCTTACACATATATAATATTTATCCTTATTTATCGTGAAGGCGATGAATTCGACGCATGCGCACAATGTTCAAAGTAAACTGAGAAAGAGAGAGAAGTATACTCCCGCACCGTTCTGGGACAGGACTTCTCTCTCAACTAGCCATATAGTATTACATATATGGACGAGCTCACCTCTATTTTTATTCCACTATGGACCACATCATGAAGGAAGGTATAAGGAGACTCCACTCAGTCTCGCCAGTCTACAAAATATGGACCCATTTTAGGTTTCGAGTTCAGTTTCCGATTCTCGACACTCGCAGCGCTCGTGAATTTAGTAGTGTTTGAGTGCGAATAAGAGAAATGATCACTTCTCATTCGCACTCATTTATGCGCAACACTACTAAATTCACGAGCGCTGCGAGTGTCGAGAATCGGAAACTGAACCCAAAACCTAAAATGGGTCCACTTTTATTTTATGGAGTGGAGTCTCCTTATATCTTACGGTAAAACTAGGGAAAAGGGGAGCCACCCCCGATGACCTTGACCTTGACATATGTTGTCAAGGTCATGACCCTGAGTAACCTCCCGCAGGTTTTAGGTGGCGGTCACTGTCCGTTAAAAAGTTATTAACAAAAAAGTTTAAAAATTAACGTATCATTTCTGCCATATATGTATTATAACAAGTACTATTTTACATCTCCTTCTGTTTAGCAACGTTAAACTTTCCACGCGAAGTAACTCTCAACTCCCCCAACCCCCTGCGAAGGGGCACACGACTTCTACGATTGTACTGTTGCTATGATTGAACTGTCGGGGAAGACCTCTGTCGACGGTGTAGATGTGGGGGGGGGGGGGGAGAAGGCCACCTCCTTGCACCCGCCCGCCCGTGTGTGTGTGTGTGTATTCCATTCGTTATATAACGATTATGAGTCTATTACTTTATATTTCACGCACGCACGCATGCACGCACGCACGCACGAACACGGGTGCAGAGGTCTGCCCCGACAGTACTATCATAGCAACAGTACAATCGTTGAAGTCGCTACCCATGTGCAGGGGGGGGGGGGGGAGTTACTTCGCGTAAAAAGTTTAACGTTTCTGAATACGGAAAGGTGTAGAATAGTACTTAACATCATACATGTATTGCAAGAATAATTCAGAAGTATTCATAATTATATCCTTATATCAGGAGACGCGGTAGCGTCTCCGGCCATGTTCAAAAACTGTGAGACGCTACAAGTCTCTTATCCCGAGCCATTAAAGTCCATTTTTGGGAGGAGCATAACTATTAAAATATAAAAATTTTTGAATCAAACGTTATATGTTCTGAAAGGCGGCATCACCACGAGTAATTTGAGCCAAAAAAATTTTTAATCGGTCAAGCCGTTCTGGAGATATAAGCGGTCGAAAAGTGGTGATTTTAATGAAAAATTAAGAAATGTCTCCTTCTTCTCCTTCTTCTCTGTCCGCATTTTTAAACTTTTTAAACTTTTCAACATCCTCTCTCACCTTTCACTCACACCTCCACCATCTTTGGCCCACCGAACCTCCTCCACTCGCCC